CAATAAAAATTAAATCAAGAATAATTATCATTTTAAACAAAGATTTAGAACAATTATCATTTTGATCCATATGTTAATGTCTGACTGGGCTTCGTGCCACTTTATGTTCAACAAATTGGGCCCCRAGGTCAAAAAGKTTAAGAACCCCTGCTGTAAACAACAATCCCCTACTGGGAAGAGAGAAGTACTGAGCAGAACRAGATGACTGTAAATGAGAGCTGCAGGCTTTGTGAGACAAATGTAATTTYATTTGGAAGCCTTGTCAACACAGACTGAATGACTTCATTCACTTCCTCTAAACTACAGGCAGACTAAAACAGAACAGAAAATCAATRTTGTTGTTCACAACTCCTCCTTCTGTWCATTGATTGGCCCRGTTGAACTTCTACCTAAGAAATCCMTGTCAKTGGGAGAAATCCAGATTGAAAAGTGAAGGGAGATTAGAATCGAGCAGAACTGTGTGGGAAGGCAAGGGCCAGGCTAGYGGTTGGCATTACCACCATCGCTAGACTGAAAGGTGCTCAGTGGACATTGCCATATTTCTGCCTTGTAATTCAAAATGTCACATACAGCAATGAATTGTGGGTAATACACTTTGCCGACGTCCGCTTAGATGCAGGCTTAGCCAAAGTGTGGATCACACACTCRAACCCTTCAGCAGGAAYGTGCATTRGAAGTACACAAGGGTGGAAATGTGAGTAGTGGCACCAGGCCCAAATGTGCATGCCTGCACTGTCAYCTTATTAGCATCTGATTCAACTCCACAAAGACCCTCCGTAGGTCAAAGGAGCAGCAAAGGTGTTTGTTCCTCRTTGCTTTTAAACTTTAAACTAAACCGAGGCAGCACAATCATGCACACTTGTACCTGCACATGRATCCTGCTTCTTCCTGTCTGTTGACCAATAGTCAACACATGAACCTGTACTAACCAGAGAAAAGTAATTTTTCCACATTTCACTGCGTTTTTCATCTCAGTTTTGAGCTGTTAAGATGATGAAAACCTTTTTTGACTCAATCAACCTCCATATTTGATCGAAGCTTCATAATGTAACTCCGTGTTTTTCTCCTTTTAGTTGACCACACTAGAGTCAAGCTTACGCTCACCTCTTCTAAAAAAGACACAGACTACATCAATGCTAACTTCATCAAGGTAAASTGAAGAAATGTCACTATTTTCCTTTACATTTCATAAACAACTGGGGTCAGATTTATAAAGGATTGCATGGAAACCATACTAAAATTGAACGTACGGCCAAAAGGCGGAAATGGCGTACACCAAAAAAAAAAAAAAAAA